GCGGAGCCGTTCACGCAGGCGATCATGGACATGCTCCACGATGCTTTCTGGGGGGCCACTGGCGTCGAGCAGTGGGTCGTGGGCTTCGTGGTATGCTTGGCCTCCGCGGTGCTCCGCTGGGGCGACCTCCACAGGTCGTGGGGGATGTGGCTAACCCTCGACGCCCTCTTCGGTACGTGCTACCGCATGAAGAGGAAAGCCGCGCCCGCCCCGTGGGCGGCGCTGCGGCACAACGCCATGGGCCGCGACTGGGGGGGGGGCGGTGGCCGTCGCTCACCGAGGCCGTCACCCCAGAGGCGGATTCTGGGCCCCCCCGGAAATGGGCGCGGCCGCACGTCGAGCACACCGCGGGCGACCGGCTTGAGCTTGCCGCGCCGCCGCGGAAGGGCCCCCACCACAACTGCTTGCGCATCCTGCAGTGGGTCTTGCGCAGAGCAGGGGTGGCCAGTGCCAAGCGGCCGTGCACGCTCCACTTCCCGCGCTTCTTCATGCCAGCAACGGTGCGCCAGATAGGCGGCTCGCGGGAAGAGGTAGCTGCGGTGGGGCACTGGGCCGAGGGGCCCGCGTGCCCCTCCAGCACGACCAAGCTCGCTGCTGCTCCGAGCTGCTGGTGAAAGCACGGGTGCGAAGCGCCATGAGGGGGGGCTTCATTGCTGCCGAAAGCTTCGCAGCGCCTACCTTTGGCGCGGGCGGCGCGGCTTCGGGCCAGCAGCGGCCAGCAGCGCGCCAGCGCGGCTGATCCAGGAAATGATCGGCGAGGCGAATGTGCCGCGGGGCAGGGCCAGGCAACGGCGGGCGCCAGGGCGCCCGCGAACGCGCGCAGCGGGGCGAGTTCTGGATCTGGAACGAGCGTTCCGCGCTCATGCACAGGAGCCCCCCTTCTGACCCCGCGCGCAGAAAGTGCACGCGCGCGAAGGACTTCGGCAGCAAGCCCCACTTCACGATGGTGTCGCCGGGCGACAGTGGCATCGACCGGACCCTTTTGCAGGGCGCGCTTCGGCCCCCAGTTGACATCGCTATCCCTGCATGGCAGCTTCCCGAGAGCAATGCGAGTGACGCGGGGGCGGGTGCCAGTCAGCCAGGGAACAGCTCGTGCTCCTCTTCATCTGAAACGGACGCGTGAACTAGAATGCAGGCGCAGTCTGGAGTCTGCACGTTCATTGATGAGTTATCCCGGCAAAGCAACCTAACAGCGATGTGTAGGAGCATATCTGGAAGCATTCCCCTTAAGATCCAGATGAGAATCCAGTTGTAGAATTCTGCTGTTCTCGCAGTCGCAGTCGCATTCGCGATGACAGTCGCAGCGGCGACGGCAGTCGCAGTCACAGCCTCAGCCTCAGCCTGCTTCAGCCTCAGCCTCAGCCTCAGCCTGCTTCAGCCTCAGCCTCAGTCTGCCTCAGCATCAGCCTGCCTCAGCCTCAGCCTCAGCCTGCCTCAGCCTCAGCCTCAGCCTCAGCCTCAGCCTCGGCCTGCCTCCGCATCAGCCTGCCTCAGCCTCAGCCTCGGCCTCAGCCTCAGCCTCAGCCTGCTTCAGCCTCAGCCTCAGTCTGCCTTCAGCCTCGGCCTCAGCCTCAGCCTGCCTCAGCCTCAGCCTGCATCAGCCTCAGCCTCAGCCTCAGCCTGCCTCAGCATCAGCCTGCCTCAGCCTCAGCCTCAGCCTGCCTCAGCCTCAGCCTCAGCCTGCTTCAGCCTCAGCCTCAGTCTGCCTTCAGCCTCGGCCTCAGCCTCAGCCTGCCTCAGCCTCAGCCTGCATCAGCCTCAGCCTCAGCCTCAGCCTGCCTCAGCATCAGCCTGCCTCAGCCTCAGCCTCAGCCTGCCTCAGCCTCAGCCTCAGCCTGCTTCAGCTTCAGCCTCAGTCTGCCTTCAGCCTCGGCCTCAGCCTCAGCCTGCCTCAGCCTCAGCCTGCATCAGCCTCAGCCTCAGCCTCAGCCTCAGCCTGCCTCAGCATCAGCCTGCCTCAGCCTCAGCCTCAGCCTGCCTCAGCCTCAGCCTCAGCCTGCTTCAGCCTCAGCCTCAGTCTGCCTTCAGCCTCGGCCTCAGCCTCAGCCTGCCTCAGCCTCAGCCTGCATCAGCCTCAGCCTCAGCCTCAGCCTGCAGCCTCAGCCTCAGCCTCAGCCTCAGCCTCAGCCTGCAGCCTCAGCCTCAGCCTCAGCCTCAGCCTGCTTCAGCCTCAGCCTCAGTCTGCCTTCAGCCTCGGCCTCAGCCTCAGCCTGCCTCAGCCTCAGCCTGCATCAGCCTCAGCCTCAGCTCAGCCTGCCTCAGCATCAGCCTGCCTCAGCCTCAGCCTCAGCCTGCCTCAGCCTCAGCCTCAGCCTGCCTCAGCCTCAGCCTGCCTCAGCCTCAGCCTCAGCCTGCCTCAGCCTCAGCCTCAGCCTCAGCCTGCCTCAGCATCAGCCTGCCTCAGCCTCAGCCTCAGCCTGCCTCAGCCTCAGCCTCAGCCTGCTATAGCCTCAGCCTCAATCTGCCTTCAACCTCGGCCCTCAGCCTGCCTCAGCCTCAGCCTGCATCAGCTCAGCCTCAGCCTCAGCCTGCCTCAGCATCAGCCTGCCTCAGCCTCAGCCTCAGCCTGCCTCAGCCTCAGCCTCAGCCTGCCTCAGCCTCAGCCTCAGTCTGCCTTCAGCCTCGGCCTCAGCCTCAGCCTGCCTCAGCCTCAGCCTGCATCAGCCTCAGCCTCAGCCTCAGCCTGCCTTTAGCAGCCTCAGCCTGCCTCAGCCTCAGCCTCAGCCTGCTTCAGCCTCAGCCTCAGTCTGCCTTCAGCCTCGGCCTCAGCCTCAGCCTGCCTCAGCCTCAGCCTGCATCAGCCTCAGCCTCAGCCTTCCTCAGCATTCAAAATGTTGCCCGGGAGTGGAGTTCTGGGAACTCGAAGAACACGAAGTGGCCTACAGTTGGCTCCGGGCATTCAAAATCATGCCGAGGAAACTCGAAGAGCACGAAGTGGCCTACAGTTGGCTCCGGGCATTCAAAATCATGCCCAGGAATGGAGTTCTGGGAACTCGAAGACCACGAAGTGGCCTACAGTTGGCTCCGGGCATTCAAAATCATGCCCAGGAATGGAGTTCTGGGAATTCGAAGACCACGAAGTGGCCTACAGTTGGCTCCGGGCATTCAAAATCATGCCAAGGAGTGGAGTTCTGGGACCTCGAAGACCACGAAGTGTGTAACTAATTACTTTTAAAAACGACTTCCGTGGGTTCTCGCCGGCACCCGCTCAGACCCCCCTGGGGAGTCAAGATGCTTTCTTTTGACACTATTAGAAACCTATCAGTCTTCGCTGTTAGGTAAAAAAGGTTGCATTTGCGAGACCCGCGGGTTTCGGGGAAACCCGTGGGTCCGGTTTTTGTTCAGACCCGCTGGTTTCAGCGAAACCCGCGGGTCCGGTAAAAACGCCCGGGGGCGGGGGCGGGGGGCGGGGGCTGCCCGCGTTGCAAGGGGGGCCGCTGACGGGGGGAGAGGCGCCCGGGCCGCAGTCATCCGCGCCAGGGCAACCAGCCTCCGACCTCGCGGCCCCGGAGAAGCCTGGCCTGAGCGACTGGCGCTGCCATGGCGGCGTATTCGGTCGACGCCGCGCGGGCCTTGGACCCCGGCTTGCGAAACCCTCTCGAGGGGCGCAGGGTGCTTGAGGACGTCGCGAAGTGGCCGATCGACAAGGGCATCGTCGTCGTGGGTGGTTTCTCCGACCTCGCAGGCTCCAAGGAAACCGTCGCGACCGCGGCGCAGGGCGTCGGTGCCCCCATCGCCGCCAACGACGCCTTGGAATGCCAGCCTGTCAAGGCGGCGTCCCGACGGGCCCTGGCCCTGACCAAGGCGGAGGGCGAGGCGAGGGCGCGCGGCGAGGATATCGTCCAGAAGTCCGTCTTCTCGACGGGCGACAGGAAGCGGCTCGACACCGCGACGAGCGAGTACTTCAAATTTCAGTGGCCCAGCTCCTTCTTTGTGGAGACGACGCGACGGTGGGGCGCCTCGTCAAGTTCTTCACTGAAGAGACCCGCTACGTGCCGCGCCTGGGCGAGGCCCGGGGCATCTTGGAGAAGGGCCCCGTGCACGCTGGGAAGGTGCTCCTCGTGATCTCGACGAACTCGGGCAGCGTGAGAGGCGGCCAAGGCGCCCCGGAGGAGACCGCGGTCAACGGCTTCGTGCAGTTCACCAAGCGCCACCTCATGCCCATGGTGGCACGCGCCCGTGCAGCGGGGCCAGACTGGGCGCGAACGGACCTCGCCCGCCTGCTCCAGTACCGCGAGTGGGCGCTGGACAAAGCGCACGAAGGCCCCCGCACCAGGGACAAGCTGCAGAAAGTCATCGAGGCAGGCTTGCAGATGCGCACCATGTGGGGCTTGGCCTAGAGCCGCGGGGAGTTCGCCATTCTGACCGCGCAATTTCGCGCCGCCGTTCCGCGAACGCCTATCTCTTCCCCGACATCAATAGGCGCAAGCCGCAGAGCTATGGCGACGGTGACTGTGGAGGCGGCGAAGGTGGCTGCAAAGGGCCGGGCGCCGCCGCGCCAGGGCGACGACAGACGTCGCGGAGGTGCCGCGCCCCGCAACGAGCAGCCTTTGACCTTTCAGACCAAGTACAAGGGCCGCGAGATTTGCGCGCACTGCGACAAGGCCAAGGGCTGCGGCAACAGGTCGTGCCAGAAGGCCCGCACTTGCAATTTTCCTGGCTTTGCAAAGACCCACCCGCGGCACATGCGCCGCAGGGCCCAGCCCCCCGTCGAGGGCGTGGGCCGCCAGCCAGGGGGGCCCAGGGCGCCCGGGGGTGGCCCGCGGGCTCCCCAGAGGCATGGCGAGGCCCAGCCGCGAATGACGCCGCCGATGGTAGCCGCCCCTTCTCGGGGCATGCTCGGGGGCAGCAAAAAGCAGCAGTCTCGCCCGCCAGAGACGTGGGTCGGAGCTATAGAAGGCGGGGAAATCCAGACGCGCGGGTTTCAGCGAAACCCGCTGGTCTGGAAAAGACGCGCAGATCAACCCACCGCGGGGGCGCGACCCGGTGCGCCCGGCGAGAAAAGTGGCCGTGGGGGGCCAGCCCCTGGGCCATATCGGTCTGCCGCTCATAGCAGGAGGTGGCGGCCCCAGCGCGCTCGCGCTCCTTGAAGATGCGGGCAGAGTCGCGCACCCCCTCGAGACGCCGCCGCAGTTGCCGGCGAGGCCGGTGGATGCGATGGAAACCGTCTGCTCCATGGGCCGCGCCACCATCGGCTACCGGAAGGGCGCCATGGAGAGGATTCGCGGGACTGCCCAACGACTGGACGGTCAGCGAGGTGCCTGGGTAGCCCGGTTGCACCCGCGTGTCCAGCGCGTCATTGGGCACCCGCGCCCCCCGCTGCTGAGCAGGCTACTTTGGGAGATTGAGTGCGAGGAGGACATGCACTGCATGGGCGCACTGACATGGGGTCGGCCGACGCTGGGGGAGGGGCTGCTGACGAACGGCCTCTACCCGCCCCAGGCTTCGAGGGCCGCTGCCGCGGTCGCCCAGCGGGCGATGTCACCGCGGGCGCGCAACCTCGACATGGCCCGTGGCGTCTTCGAGCCGCGGGGCCCGACCCTGGACGCCCTGGCCTGGGCCAAGGTCAAGAAGGAGGTGGGCCGCGGGCATGCGACCATGCGCGGCTTGGACGAGTTCGACCTCGACCGCGTGCGCCTGACCCCGCGCGTTCCCAAGTGTGAACTGAAGGAGACGGGGCGGTGGGCGGCCAGGCCAATATGCGTTTTCAAGCGCTCAGGTGGAAATGATACGGTCGACCTCCAGCAAAGATTCACGCAGAGGACTTGGTCTTGGCCTGGGCAGCGACCCGCAAGCGGAAGGACATGTGCGGAGCAGAGCGGGCGCTGGAAGGGCACCGCGCCGACTACGAGATGGCGTCCCGCCAGTGCCCCACGGGCCCGGACCAGGCCGACCTCGCGCTGGAGATCTCTTGGGACCCATGCAACAGGAGGGTGGTGGTCGTGGGCGTCTGCGGGCAGCCGTTCGGCGGGGCCTTGAGCCAGTTCAACTGCGTCCGGGGCCCGGCGGCCGTGGCGGCAATCGCGCGCTCGCTCCTCAAGATAGCGGTGGCGCACTACACGGGCGACGCTTGGGGCGTGGAGCCGTCGCCGCGCGGGCTGCAGGCGCGTCGGCTCTGGTTGGAGCTTAACGACCTCGTGGGCTGGCGGATTGACCTCCAGAAGAGCCCCGCGCCCCAGCCGCGGTGCAAGCTGCTCGGGGGCCTCCGCTACTTCGGCGGGGGTGGCCCGCGCATCGCCCTCCGCCCGCCGAAAGTCCAGGCCGTCGCGGAGGCCATCAACCAGGTCCTGCAGAGGGAGAGACTTACATGAGGAGAGGCTGGGGCGCTACGAGGCCAGCTCGGTTGGGCGAGAAGCTTGCAATTTTGGCGTTTGGGGCCGCGGCCTTGCGGCCGCTGGCGGAGCGCCAGTGCGACGGCGAGCGCGCGGGCCTGACCCTGGCCCTCCGCGGCGCACTCCTCTTTTGGAAACGCATTCTGGCTGAGGCGGCGGGGCGACCAATCCCGTTCATGCCAGAGAAGATGGCATTCCACGTCGTCGTTGCGGACGGGGGGGGGGGGGGCGGGCTCGGTGGCCGCGGGCTGGCGGCAGCCCAGGGACAAGGGTTGGCAACCGCGCGCGACAAGAGGCCGAGCGCCGGCGGCGCGGCGCAGGGCCTGGCGGCGCCGCTTGAGTACCTGGCCCGAGTACCTGGCTTGGTCGGGCCTTTGCTGGCCTTGAGTACCTGGCCCGACCTCAGCGACGGCATGCTCATCTGCTTCATTGACACCGAGGCAGCCAGAGGGACCCTGATCTGGGGAAGCAGCTCGGTCTTGGCCGCGAACGTGATTACGCACCACACCTGGGAGTTCATCAGGAAGCTGTCCTTGCACGCGCGGGTGGAGCGCGTCGCTGCCAATGACAGCCCAATCGACAAGGAAGGCGCCCAGGGGCGACGTATCGGACCTTTGCGACCAGCAGTGGCACATCTAGGATCCCGCGTGGCCGGCCAGCGATTATGACCAGGCCGCCAGGGGCGAGTGACCTCTTAATACCTGAGGCAGCACCGCCAGGCAACGCCGCCGGGGCGTATTTTTGCAGACCCGCGGGGTTCGGCAAAACCCGCTGGTCTGGGAGATTGCGGGTCTGGCGAAGGGTCCGTCCTCCCCACCTGGCAGGACTGGCTGCCTCAACGCAGTGCCAGCGTGAGAAGAAGTCATCGTCGCCGTCCTGGTCTGGAGGCTTTTATATATGCATGTATGAATAATATAGATACATATGTTTACAACACATATATGTATATATACATGAATGTATACACATGTGTATGCATATGTGTGTGTACATATATATATATATATATATATATATATATATATATATATCTCGGTCCCTCCCCAACGACACCCCCAGAGCTTCGATTGAGCCATTCATCATCGTCCTCCTCCCCCTGCTCCTTCCGTTCTTCCTCATCGTTATCCCCCTCCCTCTTCTTCCGTCCTCCCCATCTTCCTTCCTTCCTCCCCTCTCCCCACCCTCTCCCTCCCTCCTCCCTCCCTCCTCCTCATCCTCCCTCCCGCCCTCTGTCCTTCCTCCTCCCTCCTCATCCTCCTCCCTCCTCCTCGTCTTCATTGCTCCTTGTGTGTAGGACTGTCAGTTTTATTTCTTGTGTGTTGGATTTACACGTTGACGCATTATGTGGAGGGGCCTCCATATAATGATTCCTCTTGTGGAGGATCTCCCCACGCAACAAACATAGACAGAGAGGCAGAGAGAGCAGAGAGAGAGAGGGAGAGAGAAACAACAAAAGGAGGGATCACGACAGGCGCAGCGGGGCCGAGCGCAGAACCCGCGGGGTTTTTGGTTTTGGAGGCTCCCCAGAGGGAGGGGGAGGTGCCGAGGAGGAGGCCTGCGGGGGGGCATCCCAGCCTCCACAAGCAAAACAAAGACAGTGTTTCGTTGCTTCCCACATAAAACAATACACAACCAAACATACACAATGTTTCGTTGCACCGAGGGCGCCAATCACTGCGTATTCTTCGTTTCTGATTTTGCAGCAAGGAGGAGGAATGGGCAAAGGGGGGAGGAGGGAAAAAGGGCTCACATATCGGATCGGATCCGATAGGGGGCAAGTCGGGCGCAGGCGAACAGGCGCGCTCGGGCGCGGGAGAGAGCAGAGAGAGAGAGAGAGAGAGAGAGAGAGAGAGAGAGAGAGAGAGAGAGAGAGAGAGAGAGAGAGAGAGAGAGAGAGAGAGAGAGAGAGAAACAACAAAACACAAGGAGGGAGCACGGGAGGCGCAGCGGGGCCGAACGCAGAACCCGCGGGGGGTGCCTTGGAGTGGACACGCTGCTGGGTCCTTTCGGGTGATCAATCTTTTTCGCTACATCGTGCAAATGCCGTTGCTCGCATCGTTGCGTTGGCTCAAGATCGAGGGAAGACGCAAGTTGCGGCTGCGCTACCAGTGCGCCCCGATATCCCTCTCGTCCCTGTTGTCTTCCCAGGGCCCTTGAGGGCCCGTGGTGTGTTCTCCTCCCCTGGTCCCTTTGGATCTCTCCCCGCCCCCGTGGTGTAGCCACTTTGGCTTGGGTGTTCTCAACCGTGTGCCCGTGAGGTCGCGGCCCAGAGAAAAGCCTCGTCTCCGCTCGTCCTTTTACGACTCGCAGATCCATGTGTCCATCCCATCAGTGACAGTGGTAAGCGGAGCGATGTCGGAGAGGCTCGCGGAGACCATGGGCGTTCCAGGCGCGGGCGATCACGAGCAGCAGAAGGGAGTGCAGGAACACGAGCAGCAGAAGGGAGTGCAGGAACATCAGGAGCCACTAGCAGACGCGTGGCAGTCACTACCTACGCCAGAGAGAGTTCGTCGAGGCCAAGATGACCCCTCGATCCAGGCAGATGCTCAGCAGTCATCAAGCTCTGCGAGTCAGGGGGCTGATCCGTGGAGTGCCTGGAGGAGCTCTTGGGAGTGGAAGGGGTGGTGGCAGGCCAGCGAGCATGACACATGGAGAGATGACGGCTGGGGATCATCGTCGGCGGCCTGGACGAATCCCCACACGGCTCCAAACAGAGATTTTGGCGCTCCTCCTCCCTGGTTGAACTTCGAGAACCTCGAAACGTACAGGCATAATATACTAGCATGGACTCGACGTACTGGATTTCGGCCAGAGACTCAGGCAGGACGTATTCTAGAAGGCCTCCCAGTCGAACTACAGCTTAAGTTTCGAACGATCCGGGCCGATCTCGACTCGCAGGACGGTATCGACCGATATTTGAAGCACTTGTCGCTACTGAACGGCGAGCGGCCTGGAGATCGCGAGAGGTTGGCACATAATGCAGCGCTGTTCAATTACATGATCAAGAAGGGAGAGTCGATCACGGAGTTCGTTCTGAGACGTGACGCAGAGATTGCAGAAGCGGAACGATACGACCTGGCCTTGCCGGATCCGATCAAGTCGAGGTATCTCGAGGAAGGCGCTTGTCTCTCAGCGCAGAACAAGATCAACATGCGCACGTTGGCAGGAGGCAGGGATGACTTCAGTTCGATACGGGCCGCAATTCTGAAGTTGGATGTTAATGATCAGCCGATCCTGCCGACGACGCACACGCCTGTGACGAAGGCGTTTGCGGCAGAGGTCTCAGAGGAGGTTCCCCCGCCGCCGGAGCAGTACCAGGACGAGGCTTTCTTGACTGAGATCGACGACTCCGTCGAGCTGCCAGAGGAGGATGTGGACATCTTCCTCGCCACGCTCGACGACCAGGACCTTGGCGAGACCGAGGTGTTGCAGATCTTCGCGGCGGTGGTCGAGGATCGATTGGGCAAGGAAAAGAGGCGCACCTGGGCTGAGGCCAGGCGGCTCAAGGCTGCCAAGAAAGTGGACCGCGACTTCTTCGACAGGAAGAGAGCTGCTCGCCCAGGATTCAAGAGGCTCATGATGACCGACGTGAAGAAGCGCACCAGGTGCGCGAACTGCGGCGAGCGCGGCCACTGGGCGGAGTCGTGCAAGAGTCCGTTCAGATCCAAAGCGGACAGGATCGCCAGCGAGAAGGGCAAGAAGGACAGCGCGGGCAAGAGCTTCTTCTTCGACGTGCTGCCGGACGCGGACAGCTACATCCAGGTGGACGACTGGAACCAGCTGCTCAAGACGCTGCACGTGGCAGGGCCTGAGCTTTCGCTTCGGCAGCTGGGCGATCACGCCTTGGTAGACACTGCAGCGGGTCAGGCGCTCATCGGACGCGAGGACCTGGAGGTGATGAAGACCGCGTTCGAGAGACGTGGATTCCGGATCCTGGTGAAGGAGGGCCCAGTGGCAGGAGTCACGTGCAACGGAGTCGGCGGCAAGGTCAACCCTGTAGGGAGGGCATGGGTCCCCGTCAGCATCTGGAAGTGCGGGATCGTGGAGTTCCTAGTGCTTCCTGGCCGGTGCCCACCTCTTCTACCGGCTCGGCTCTTGGAAGCAATGCACGCGGTGATCGATTTGGGTAGTGATGAGATCGAGCTTGGCGATCGCGACAAGGTGCGACACACCCTCGTGCGGCACCTGGCCGGGCACAGGTCGATCAGCCTGATCCACTGCGAGCCCGAGGACTTCTGTGTGCCGGACGACGTGATGTCTCGCTTGCCGGCCGACGTGCGTGAGGACCTGAGGGGAGGGTGGGCATCTAGCTGCGCGATGTCAGATTCCCCTTTCTCCTCTCCCTCCTCGGTGTCGGGGAGTGTCGGGTCCCGGGAGCAGCGATCCAGAATTCGGGATCGAACTCCGTAGCCGTTTCGGCTCAGAAACTTCAGACGGTCAGTGGTACGCGCCTGCGCGATGGTGAAGGGCAAGTTCGGCACCCCGATGGTCAAGATGGGGCAGCCGCTCCGGAGGAGACGCTCGGCAGCGGCGCTCAGGTGCGTGATGGAGGACGAGGAGCTGGAGGACTGGGAGGAGATTCCGGAGGAGTTGCAGGACCTGGACTTCACGGAGGAAGAGATGTCGATCCCCCTCAAGCAGAACTTCTGGGACGGTGTCCCGGTCCTGCTCAAGCCGATGCTCGCGTGGAGGAGGTTCGCCCTCAGGCTCTTGCACATCGCCTCGGGGGTCGTGGGCATCAACGGGATCTCGATCATGTGGCCGGCCGCGGTGGAGATGCACTTCGAGAGCCAGGACACTTGTCCACACCCTCCCTGGGCAGTCAAGGAGGGATCCAACCCGACGAGCGTGTACAGCCACTGCCGGATGTGCCGGCTCCGGTTGTCGCTGCGGGACAAGACCCCAGCCGAGAAGGCATCAGCGGAGGCGAAGAAGCAGGCGAGGTCCGCGAA